GAATTTATTCAAATAAATTTTTTTTTCTTTTTCTTTTTAGATTTATTTTGACCATCAAATGAACTGTAAGTTAAAATTTATAAGAATAATTTTTTTTTATTTTTAGATATATGTTGACCATCAGATGAACAGTAAGTATTAACTTAGATAAATTAGGGTGCCCAGCCAGATTGGGCACCCCAGATATTATCTTTGTATCTTTAGATGAATGAGTAGGGGGAGGTACGAAAACCTAATGTATAATACGATGACAAACGATGTTGTATACGACCATGTAAGATCGTTTACGTTGGTCGTATTCACGTCGTATTTCGTCGTATACGACACAACGATATACGGTCGTAATTCTGGTGTCAAGTAATACGACGAAATACGGTCGTATACGGTCGTAATTTACACCGTATACGACTGTATACGATCGGATACGACGTCGTATACGATCGTTTACGACTGTCGTAATGCACGTCCTGGGAGATTCTGATTGATTCTAAAGCGTATTCATCCCACTGTATCAGAGTGTGTTGAAAGTTATCCAAAGTCAAGAATATTCACCAAAGTCTGATGAAATTCGCTAAAAAGTATTTGAATTCATTGTTGTCTATCAAACTCCACTATAATTCCAGCATTATAATTTGCAGATACGGAAAATGATCCGAATCCTAGTGGATCCTGTTGGATGATTACAGATTCTAATTACGACTGTATTAGTCAAAATCCATCGGAATCTATTAGAACTTATCATATAATTATTGTTCTAAGTTAGCTTTTTCTTCTTCAACTAGAATTCTGCTATATAATCCCTGTTTTTTCATTAATTTTCGTCAACTCTGATGAATCTTGATGGATTCTGATGAATCCTCGTAGTTTCTGACGATTCAGGTGTATCCTAATGAACGTAAGATCCACCAGCATTCGATTGTTCCTCCTTGTCACAAACCATCTAGAAAATCTCTTCTCTCTTGATCTGTGAAATTAATCACTACAAATTTCATTCACTTCTGTTTCATCCGTATTAGATTATGATCTTGAAAATCTATCGGATCTAACACTTCAGATTCCGATGTGATTCTGCAACTCGACTTTTTATCGAATTTCATATATTATCCTATCGAAATCTGATAAGACACGGATCAAATCCGACTGTTGGTTTGATCGATTTAGATGAAGCACCGAATATAAGAAAAGTTTATCACGCATATCTCTATTTTAAGATAAATCGAGAGATAGAATAGTTTTCAAAGTTATTATAAATACTTGTATTTGATCAACTGAACTTTCGTGGATTATAATACTTGTTAATGATTTTCACCATTTCTATATTTTCTTCCAAGTCTTGTGATAAGAAAAGATGTCACTTCTCAAGTCATTAAAACTTAGAAGATATCTGCTTATCAAGATCTTGAAAAAAAACTCGCGCGAGATTAACGCTTGCAAAAGAGTCGAAATAGTTTCTCATGGTCTGCGTATTTTTATGTTTGACGAATATTTACCGTAGCTTTATCACTTGAAAAACGATTTTTTGTATAACAATTGGATAATTAAGTACCAGTAACCAAAGATACTTTACAAATTCAATCTAAATAAAAGAAAAACTTTAAATAAATGTAGAGAAATAAAGAAAGTTAGTCATACGACAAAAATGCAATTCATAACAATCTTTAAGACCATCTTCAATTGAGACAAAATCAGCACTAGATGATTTGTTAACCGTAACTTGTTGAAAACGTTTTTCAAATGCTGAATCTTTTTTAACATATTTTCTGTATTCATGAACAGTTGTTACACCAATATAACGAAATTTATCCCGAGCTCTAAACAGATATTTTTATTAAATTATTAAATTAACAGAATAACATATATACCTAATATCAATCACATGAACTTACTGCATCCGCTACAAATAAAAATATTGCATTAAGATAGAAAATTTCTTTTGAAAACATTGAATAAACATATATCTTGAACTTTTCTATCACCAAAAAACAAAACAACATCACTATTTGAACTTTCGCTGTCTTTTAAAACCGATTTGACACATTCTTCAAGTTCACTATTATTACTTTCTGCAGCTAAAATATTAATTATCATTTAACCCTTTCTTGTCTTTGGCTAAATCTAACAGTTCGGAAGGTCAACTCTCTCAATAACATCAACCTTATAGGCCCTAATATACACAGAAAAAGTTTGAACAATATACAACAAGCTAAGCTTTCTCTTATGAATTATGGTGCGTGCCATAACATTATGTATTCATAGAACGTCAAAAATATTATTTTTATGATAAAGAATAGTTTCAAACTGTTGATTTGAGATACACAATATACAGACTTTAAATTGATATGAAACTCTTTCCTAAATGTCTCATAGTTTAAAAGAATCAATTTTTTATTAAATGGTATTTATAAATACCATAGGCCAAAAAAGGATTAATTTACTATTCTATCAAATTGAGAAAAATAGATTTTCGATAATGGATTATGTGTATAAACATAGAGAAACCAAAGCTGATTTATTATCGTTTGCTAACTACTATTATTCTAATCTAAATTACAGAGTTTCAAATCATTACAGTAATACCCAACGGAAAAACTCATCAGCAAGTAAACAATCTCTCATAGACGACAGTTATGTTCCAAGTTTCTTCAATCATATAAAAAATGATCTTTCTTAGTTATTTCTGCAGTTTGGAAAAAACTTTTTAATGTCGCTGGATTATTTATTTTCATTATTACTATCTTCTCGTTATATATTTCATTTGATTTCGCAAGAGATCTTAATACGTGATGTCGTTCAACGCTCTCTTTTCTTCCTAGGAGAGATTTTATCTTCGATGACTTTTAGCTTCGGTTTCTATGGTCGAAAATAGAAGCCACAAAAACCTCGATTCAAGCATTCACTGACTATTTGCCTTCGGAAAACTATCAGAGTTTATAAAAATGTCAGAAAAGCAACGTTAAATAAACATCGATCTGTTGAATTAATTTATACTATATGGAATGTACTCCTATGTATTAAAATTTTAATCTTTAAAAAGAATAAAAGAAGGGTGTGGGTGTGGATTTAGTTGATATAAACACCCACACCCATCTATCATCTATTGTAGAATTTATTAAATTCGAAAGATAAATTATTGAAATTATTTTATCTATCATAGATTTGTGGATCTAGATGGAAATGTTTGTACATATATTGTAATTGAAGCTTCCTCAACTTTAATTCCAATACAGGATTTTATTAGATACATACGTAATTCATTTTACATTCATTTTCTTAATTGAATTTTTATAATTAAAGATATATATATATATAATTTAAAATTTGAATAAAAATCACATGAAACAGATCATTCATTCAGTAAAAATAACTCAATTAAATTATCACCAATAAGATTGAAGAAAATATTAAACTAAAAGTGAGATTAATTCATTAATACAAACAATAAACTATAGTCATAAGATTATGGAATAATACCTCCAAAGAACAATAAGAGAATAACATAAATCCTTATGAAAAATAATCTACAAGATATTGTTAAAAAGAAAATATAAATAATATTCTTAATATAATCTAAAGATAATGATTGATAAAAACAAGATGTTACGAAAGATTTTCAGTATGTAAATATTCTATAAACCAATATTCGAATACATATTAATGTTGACAGTTATGAACAAGAAATAAAAATCAAATGTTTTATCTTGATTTATTTCATTCCACTTAATTAGAAACGAATTCTAGTTTTTATACAAGTTAAAATAAATAATAAGTCCTTCAATATTAGAAAAAATCTCAATCAATAACTAAGTAGATTCTATTGACAAAATAAATAAATATATTCTTAAGAATATTCTAAAAACAAGAACAAGAAAAAATAGATAAAACAATTATTTTAATGTTTTATCTATGGTTTAGTCAATAGTGACATAAAATGATATTGATAATGTTTAGAGATTTTTTATTTACGATCATAAAATAGATTTTCATAGATGATGAACATTAATAATCGAGAAAGTTTTTTTCAACATAAAATAATAAACACACATAAAACACCAAATAAACCAAATAATGATGAAATAAATATCAGATTTTGTAAACAAAAAACGTTTTAAAGAAATGTAATGATGCTTTCCCTACTATCAATCATAACATTCGTAATGACACAGTATCATCTTCACTTGATATTGAACGATTTTAATATATCATTATATTCTTAAAATCAAACAAACATATCTATAGGAATTACAATAAATTTTAAAAAGAATGTCTCTTACGTTATTTATTAAGAGTTAATTATTAATAGTTCAGATGATTTTACTGGTTTATTGATAATACATTAAGATAGTTTTCTTTGTTTATTCATATTATTTAACTTAGTTTTTTCAATTATACATGAATATATATAAATGACTTGTGTTTAATCTCTCATGTTCAGGTATTTCTAAATTGATTATCTACTTTCATCTAATTGAAGATATAATTTTGGTAGACGACTTTATGTAGTAAATTCTAATTAAAGTAATTAAAATTTAATAAAAATTATCAACAATAATGGAATTAACTTGGGGCTAAGCTGGATGCTACCAAGCGGGTCCACAGGTTGCGGATAGTGGAACGGCCATTAGTATGATGGTTAGCTGCGAATAAGATCAAGCGATTGATCAAATAAACAGTCCCGGAC